TTTGACAATACGAATGTGTCGTGCGCAAAACAGCTTATTTGCTATCTGTTCTTATATGTGGGTAATATGTGCAACCAAAATAATAATCATTGTGACCTCCTCACTAATTCGTAACTGCATAACCTATAGAAGTTGAACGTTGAGCATGGTGAATTTGGAAAAGACGCATTCTGGAATGAATTTCGACGGTTGTAGGATGGTGCCCGGGCTGCTTCCAGCGGAACAAAAACGACCAGCTTGTTGGATAGATAGTCAGCACAACGCCGTGAATGTATCTGGATGAGGTTAGCATCCTACATGAATGGAAAACTGCAGAACTCGTCCTCGATCCCGTTGCACAGGAAAGTAGCCTGTTTAATCGCAATTGTTGAGAAATGGAAAGTTCGTTTAGTTGATTCGGAATTTTCAAGTCACCGAAGGGAACTAGGTTCGGATGTAACTGTTGGAAGCATCTGTTTAATGTCCGAGTCGTTGATTTGTACACTGACAGCGCACATTTTCCATATCTTTGACTGATAGGCGACAGATCATATGTGGGGATAAATTGTGATATGTGTTTACTAAAGTTTTATACTTTCTAGGAATTGGTGATCCATTTGTTTTTTGTATTAATTATCAAGTAAAAACCGCCGGAATCCGTTTATGTTTAAAAGAGCTGCCAACAAACATTCAGTTGTAAGCGATGATTTTCAATTGGAACAGTCCTAGACAGTGCGATGTTGCTGTAAGATATTCGAACCGTTGCAAAAGAAAGAGAAAACCGTATACTCATTCACTTCGCAGTTAAATAGTAGGATCAGGTGTCTACTTACTAATTTGTACACAGTATCTATCATCAGTGAGATAAAACTCGGTTATCAAATGCGAACATTCTAGCTGTCAGTTTTGCGGCAACGTGCGATATACTAACAAACTCTGTCTAACTCGCAAGAAAACCTGACCTTATGTTTAACTCCTAAATTATAAAGCCTTTTAGAGATTTGCAGCTGCACACTAGACACGAAAATTCCCAA